TCCTCTGGACAAAGTTCGGCTTGCAGGATCCAATCCGGCTCAGCCACCGGGACCGGAGGTTTCGTCTCCTGAGCTTTTGGACTCGTGCTGGAGTCCATCCTCCTGCCCATCCTCTGACTTTTGGGCCAAAGTTCTGCTTGTTAGACTTTAGTCAGATAGAAAACCCTGGAAGTGAGCAGCCCCGGGAAACAATGCAGAGGGTGGAAGACTTTGGCCATAGGTCCCTTCAGAGGAATCTGGAGAGACTCTCTAAATGCTCTGACTGCGGGAAATCCTTTGCTCACCGGTCCCTCCTTTTGATCCACCGGAAGCTGCACACGGGGAGTGGATCCCACCTGTGTTTTCTTTGTGGGAGTTCCTTTCCTGGAGTGTGGAGCTTTGCCAAACATCTCCGGAGCCACCCTGGAGTGAAGCCTTACAAATGCGGAGAGTGCAGGGAACGTTTTGCTAAAGGCTCGGACCTTGGAGCTCATCAGAAAATCCACCAGGGAAGAAAGAGATCTCAGGAATCCTGGAGGCGCTGGGGAAGATTTCCTGGGAGACGGTGTCTTTCTAGGCCTCCCAACAGCCCGACTGAAGAGAAGCCCTGCAAGTGTGAGCAATGTGGGCTCTGCTTTTCTCAAAGCTCACAGCTGCTTAAACATCAGCAAATCCACACCAGAGAGAAACCTTATCAATGTCTGGAGTGTGGGAAATCTTTCCGTAATAAACAATTGTTTAGAAAACATGAGAAAATTCACACAGGAAAGAATCCTTATAAATGCTTAGAGTGTGGAAAACGTTTCACTCGAAGCTCATCTCTTTGCCAACATAAGAAAATGCACACAGAGGAAAGCAAAACATGCCCAGAATGTGGGAAATCTTTTTCCACAAAATCATGCTTGCTGCGACATCAAAAAGTTCATACTGGAGAAAGACCCCATCAGTGCCCAGAATGTGGGAAGTGTTTTGGTGAAAAGTCAACCCTAATTCGACATCATAGACGTCACACTGGGGAGAGACCTTATCCATGCCCAGAATGTGAGAGAAGATTTGTGGATTGTTCTGAACTTCGGAAACACCAAAGATGGCACAGGGGAGAAAAACGTAAGTCTCACAGTGGGGAGAGACCCTATCAGTGCCCAGAATGTGGGAAAAGATTTGTCAATTCTTCTAAACTCCGGAGACACCAAAGGACACACACGACAGAAAAGCTGTATAAATGTAAGGATTGTGATAAATGTTTTTCTTATAAGGAAGCTCTTTTTCGACATCAGAGTATCCATACCGGGGTGAAGCCCTATATGTGCATCGAGTGTGGAAGATTTTTCCGTACA